GTCCTGAGTTCAATTCTCAGCAACCACATGGTGGTTCATAACCACCTACAATGAGATCTCATACCCTCTTCTGGCATGCATGCCAGAACACTGTATACATAATAAATAAATAAATCTAAAAAAAAAAGTCAGAAGAAGGCAGTGGATACCCTCTTACAAGAGCTGTGACATGAATACTGGCATTGAACTCTGGTCCTCAGGAAGAGTAACAAGTGCTCTTAATAATTGAGTGGTCTCTAGACCCTTAATTATCTTAAATAGAAGCAGCTACACTAATAAGTCTCTGTAAACAGCTTCATACACATATTCATTGAAGCCATCTGCAGTAATAGTCATAGCTGTATAATCTGTGATGCTAGATACAACCGTAAAGTGGACAGGTGACCTAGATCACACTTCACTTTAAGGAAAGGACCATGTGAAGAACAGCTGGAAGCAGCTAGGGATGCTGCCATGCACTCTAATAGATGCAAACCTCACTAACATCCTCTTTGCTTTATCAGATGTTTGGGCGGGAAGTTGGCTCTGCTGACTCCTGACCAGCATGCTGGTGGGTTTGCTTCCCTACTGGGGTCAGTCTCCTGTGCCCTCCCTTCCCCGTTGAGGTACTAACGAGTTTGCTTTTGTATTTGTGTCTTCCTCTATTTCTCAGGGTGGTGTAAGTGAGACTACAGGCATGGGCACTGCCTCTGGCTTGGAATTATCTTTCTACAGAGTAGATTCAGTTGTCTCTTTACCAAACTTTATTTGCTTGTCTGTTCCGCAGGCAGATGTGGCTTGTGGTAGAGTCCTTCGTGGTATGTACAAGGCCCTGGGTTAAATTTCTACCAAAGATCATTATTGTCAGTTTTTTTTTTTGAGACAGGGTTTCTCTGTGTAGCTTTGTAGACCAGGCTGGCTTCAAACTTGTCTGCTTTCTGAGTACTGGTGAGATAGGTTCTCACTAAGTGTCTTCTGCTGGTCTTGAACCCATTCTGCACAGCACCGTGGGAAGAGCTTGGAACTCTGATCAGACAAGACTTTGAAGGTTTGGGCCTTGGAGTCTTGGGTTAAAGCTGAGTGCCACCATGCCCTGCTTTCTCCCACACTGCCACAGAGGCCAGGAAGCTGGAGTTATGCTGGGTCCAAACTAGAACCGTACTAAGGCCTGTCAGTAGTAAGATTTGTAAAATCATAGTGTTTTATCCAATGGGAGTCTTTGCAGTGATAGAGAAGGAAAAACCTTGCAGTTACATGCGTCAACATGAATTAATTTAATAGCCAGTAATGCGGAAGAGATTCTACAAGAGTATAGTTATACTATATGATCACACTTATACTGTGTCCAGTAATTAAACCCTGTGTACAGTCTTATAAACTAAGATTCTGGTTATGACTGTTGAGGGATGTGGCAAGCCTTCTAAATTTTCATAGTTTTTTGTTATCTATTTATTTACTAATTTTTGTGGAGACAGAGTGTCACTTGGTAGTCCTAGCTGGTGTGGAATTCCTCATGTAGGCCAGGTTGCCCTGGAGTTGTGATGGGGATCCTCCTGCCTCTGCCTTCTGAGCATTTGCCTAACTCTCATTTTCTCGAGGTGTATGTCGGTAACAGATGCTTTATGGAACATCATTAATCTACATGTAACTAATGATCTGTACATCTTAAGTAGATTGCTGTCTGTCAGTCAAGTTTGTCAAAAAAAGGTCATTTGTAAGCCATAGTTGTTCCTGCAGGGCAGGTGGTGCAAGTGTACTTTACTGCACTGTGGAGGTCCAGCTTTGTTGCCCTTGAGTTTTCCATTCTGTTGCCGTTGGGACACGGGGTTTCCGAGCAGGCTGGCTTCCGAGGGCTGGGTAACCTTCATTTGATTTTAGAATTCTCTGAAAGTTTTCTCCATGCTCTTCCAGATCTTTTTGTATGTGTATTGTCTCATGAGTTGTAATTTCTTTTTCCTTAGATTGAGTTGTGAGATTCTAAACTTATATTCCTCTACCCCATTCCAGTTTGGTATGTAATTTGCATATTTTCACCATGCGAAAGCTATTTTCTATGGTTGGAAAAGATTTTTTTTCCTACAGTGTGAACAAATCATTCTTTGTTCTCCTTATTGTGCCTTCAAACTGGTGCGTCCGGTTTATGCCTCAAACAACAAAAGTCTGTCATCAGAAATTAAAATGCCAGCAAGAACAAAGGCAGAGACCAGGAGGAGCTGGGGAGAGATTCCCTCTAGTGCCTTCCTCTCCTGTTACTGTTACCACAGTGGCCTGGAAGCTGGAGTTCTGGGTCCACTCTCCCTGGTTCTGTCCTTGCCATTCTTGGATTGTGAGCTTGCAACTTCTTTTCAGGCTATAGGATTCCTTGTTATTTTCAGAGATAATTTTTTTCTAGGAAACCCAACAGTAGTTTTGACTGCTTTTAACACTGTTTTGGTATTTATTTGAAAGCAAAGTTACCCATGAGCACACTGCATAAAAGCATTAGAGGCAGCTTGGCAGCATCCCTGTATGTCTGTGTTCTTTCTGACGTGTGGAAGACTTGCTGTCTGGATATGCCTTGGTAACACTCTCTGTCCAGCGTTGTTCTAATTTAGGATTTTCACGTACATTTGGTAGATTCTTTCCTGGGAGGCTGATATTTGTGATTACATTTTGCAGTGAGAATTTCGCTTCTGATTTTAGCAGGTTGTACTCCGGAGTTTAGTATATTCACAGCTCTGTATGTGTGACACATTACTTCCTCCTTCTCTTGTCCTATGCTGTACTCAGGATCCTAGAGCCCTAACTCAGGCTGTGAGGTGTGGACAGTGAGTGTGGTGATGTCATTTCAATGGTTTTTCCTCATGGCTTTTTGTTCTCACTGGTTGCTGTACATGTAAATATGTGTCCGGGATAGAAAGGGACTTTGAGTCATTTTGTAAGTGTTTTGCTGTAAAGCTTCATGTGTCTGGGTTTTGCAATGTTTTCTGCTCTAGTGTATTGAATTCAGTGATGACAGACATTAATTATGGCAGGACAGATTTTACAACAGGGCTTGGTATATCTGAGTACAGAGACTCAGAGAAATGCGGTTACACTTTTTAACATTTGAGTTTATTCGGTAGAACCAAAAACTAAATGCCAGTCCTGGCACATGGAAACGATAGTACAAACAGGAGATTTTGTGTTCACACTGTAATTTGTTATGGGTGTAAATTTCACAAGTGGAATTTTTTCATTAGTTTGTATTATACAACTTTAACTTTTACATTAAAAAAATTTTTTTTTTGAGACAGAGCTTCTGTGTAGCTTTGGAGGCTGTCCTGGAACTGGCTTTTGTAGACCAGGATGGTCTTGAACTCACAGAGATTCGCCTGCCTCTGCCTCCCGAGTGCTGGGACTAAAGGCTTGCGCCACCAATCAGGATTCCTTTACATTATTTTTAATTAAAGATTTTCTTAATTGTATGGAAGTATAGACTTACCTATTTCTTGGCCTGCAGATACTGTATTTTCAAAATGTAATGACTTGGTCAGCATTGCCTGCTTTGTCTTTTTTGTTCCAGGTTTCCAGTGGTGGGGACTTGGCACTTGTCAATAACACATCTTTGATATAAGTTGACAATATCACTGCTCACCTGTTAGCATATGTGTTCAAAAGCCAAAAGATGTGTTACATTTTAGATTTCAGAAAAATGTAGGATTGTTGCGTTAGATGAAAAGTTTCACAAAATAATCATCCAAGTTTCTTCCTAGAAGCTTTTAATTCTGTCCTATTATCGTAAACGGAGACTTGAGAGCTGCAGTGTGTTTGCTCGTGGGTTTCATTATTGAAATGAAAGCTTGTGGCACACAGAGGCGTTCGCTCTGCTGGCTTCTTTGAGCTTTTGGGTAGGTGGTGCTGTTGTTGCACTATCCTTGCTGGGCCCTCTTGTCTGCTGCAGCCCGCAGATAGTTGTCACTACCACAAGCACAACGGATACTTACAGGAAAAACACTTAGAGCTCACAGCCCTAGAAGGTGCATAGGAGAAAGCCTGAAGATGTGAGTTCTTTCTCTAAAGGCACCTCTGCATGCACATAGTCTACTTCGGAAGATTCGCCAGCTTTTCATGATGGATCGTACTTTAAACTACTTGTTGGGCAAAGCCTGCTAAAACAATAGTATGTGCCTTCTATGAGTTTTGTTTTGTTTTTTTATCTTTGTTTCTAACAGAAGTTCTTGAGTCTTTGTGACAAACTTTACAAACCTATTATCTTCTCTGATACTATATTCCATTAAACACTAACAGTTACTGCAGTGTGCTGAAGACCATATTAGTATCACCTCCCACAGTCAGTCTAGAAAGCTGTTATTTTCTAATTCTCTTTTACTTTGCTCACTAGATCAACCAGCAGTGGAAAGGCATTTTAAAATTTGATCTACACTAGCATACTGTACCCTGTTGCCTTTTGGAGGAACAGAATGCTGTAGTCTTTATACCAAAGCACAGAATCTGACTTTACTCAAGGGAGTGGACATTGTTACAGTGTTTGATCTTTGTTTATAGTAAAAGTGATGACTTCCAAAGTTGCCTGATTGCAACTTTATTACTCACAGAATTTTGCAGTTAGAGGTGTGTTGGAGGTCTTTTTAAGCAGCCTTGTTCTGTATTAGCAAAATAATCTAGCTGATAGATTTGGATGATTCTAGAAAGATAACTGACCGATAGTGGAACTTGGATATTGCAGAACAGTCTCATAGCTGCCTCGCTCCAACATGGAGAGTGAGTGCATGAGCTGCATCGATTTCTCAGGGATTGATAGAAATTACACACTTCCAGAACAGACTTTTTTCAAGTTCATACCAATAATGAATTGTAATCTTTTTCTGAAATTGCTTACATTATTCAAGATTGGGATGTATTTGATGTGCATGATCACCCCTAAATCCTAATGTATTTTGTGTGTGCATATGTGTTTCCAGCAAATCACAATAATGTTTAGATGTTGTACCACATATTCTAGTATACTGAGAAATTTCTGTCTGTCTTCTCTTACACAGATCAGCGGGGAAGCCCAGGAGCTCTTCTCTGTTCGACACGGCCCAGTCCGAGCTGCTAGAATCTTGCCTGCTCCACAGTTGGGTGAGTGCAGCCCTTAAGGAAAACCAAACCACACAGTTTCTCTTCTGTTGATTTTGGACTATAGACAGCAAGAGTGATAACCCAGGTCTGTTTCGCTGCAAAGGTCCATTCTGCCTTCTTCCTCCCCCAAGACAAACCCTTAGTGCTCTCAGTTGCAATAGAAATAGGTAATCTTAACCATTTCAATATGGCTATTCACTTTCTGCTGTGGTTTTGATTTATCTCCATCCTCTTTGATCTCGATTTGGCCTCTGCCTTTGCTAGCTCTTTCTGCAAGCTGTCTTCTCTCCTGGCTTTCTGGGCATCCTTTTGGACTGCCTTTGTTCTGCTGCAGACGTGCTTTCTTCTGTGGGTATTCCCCAGGCCTCCCCCCGAATGCCTTTCCCTTTTCAGTTAGACTTGCTGGCTTACACAGCTTGGTTTTCAGTATTGTCTCTGCTGTAGGTGACTCTACAGTCAGAGACTTCGCTATGGTAGAAGGGTGTTGTGGGCTTTTAACTGTGCTTTTTATGTGCTTTATGGCAACTGTTTCTCTAAGTTTTTATATTAGTGCTTATTCATTGTGGAAAACAATGAAAATTATTGGTGTCTTCATGTATACACTATTCTTTGAACCTTTTTGCCCTCCACTGCCTTCTTATTCATCCATGTTTCTTGCAAGTACTTCTTAATATTGCATTTAAATATTGTGTGTTCTATATTTATGTACAAAGGTCCAAAATGTATGTTCATATTACATTTCCTGACTCCTTTATATTATGAAATCAGAAAACGTATTTTTTCCTTGTTCCCCACATTCACAAAAATACATTTTTATATATTCATTGAACATGCATATTAATTACATGGGACACTTTAAAGTGTTTTTAACTACAATAAGGATATAAAATACTTTAATTCTATTATAATTTTAAAGATTATCCTGAAATGAAAATCTCATTAAAACTTCATGTAGCTGTGTTAATTAAATTGGTGAGAGTGATGCTCATTAAATCTTAAGCCTTGATTGTACATAGGGATTAATGTAATAATTAAATTTTCTTTAATGAAATAGAAAGGATAGCTGGGCAACAATACCCTGGGATCACATGATTTCTCCCTTGCAGTTTTCTGTGTGGCCTTCATCTGCACTGTTCCCTTACACCCCCCACCCCATGTGTTCTCTTGTTTGGCCTTGAGTCTCAGTCTCTCTCTCTCTCTCTCTCTCTCTCTCTCTCTCTCTCTCTCTCTCTCTCTCTCTCTCTATCTCTCTATCTCTCTATCTCTCTCTCGCTGCATTTATGTTCTTGTGAACTGTTTTGACAAAGAAGGTTCTAATAGGCTATTCTTCCCTTTTTTTGGAATAGTCAGGGTTGTCTACAAGGATTTTAACAGTAACAGACTCAGATTTTTGCCTTTTTCATTTTATTTGTAAAGTTCTTTTGTTGAGTTACTAACCAACATTTCTCAACTTTTACTTGTCGTAAAGTAGCTTTAAATTGCTTTGTTAGTCAATAGACTATTTCTTCCACTAATAGACTCCTTTAGATTTCAAGTACAGTTTTATAGGATAAATGTTCTGACTGAAAAATTCTTTATATGCCATTTTAATGTTTTTTGTTAAATTTTATTATGTTTTTATTAAATGTAATACATGGGACAGAACTCATAAAATTTGTATTAGAAAATACCGTCCTCCCTGGGGTTGTCCCCACTCTGCATTCATTACTCCTTCGTTTTGGTGGCAGTCGTTCTGTTGCTTCCTGAAAGCACACGTGGTGGAGAGCACAGCCCTGTCGTGTGAAATGTCTTTATTCTCCCTGAACTGCTGGCTGGCCAGTAACTGCTTGCTTATAATCATATTATTTTAGAGTTTTGTAGGTATTAGATTTGAGTTATGTGCAAGAGTCTGAATCCATTTTGACATCTTTTTCCTTATGTGTATCCTGTTTTTCTGTTTGGAATGTTGACTTGTTCTTTGTGTTCTTTTTGGTTTTTAGAGACAGGGTTTCTCTGTGTTGCTTTGGAGCTGTCCTAGAGCTCAAATCTGTAGATCAGGCTGATCCTGAACTCAGGGATTCGCCTGCTTCTGCTTCCTGGGTCCTGGGATTAAAGGCGTGAGCCAACACAGCTCAGCTTCTTTGGGGTTCGTTATAAGTTCTGACTATGTAGCTCTGGTTGGCCTACAACTTTGCTGTAAAGACCGTAATGCCCTACAAGGTTCAGTTTTTAAAAACCGCCTTGTTATTGTGTGCATGTGAATGATGTGTGGAGGCTAGAGGCCAGCTTTGTAGAGCGTGTCCTTCCCTCTGTCTTCTGGGGATTGCGGATCTGGAACTGCAGGTGCCTTTACCAGCTGAGCCGGCTTGCTTGCCCCTCCTTTGACCTTTGTGCGCTGATCCCTGGACTGTGTGTGTTTATGCACACCGTCTTCCATCCTCAGCCTTCCAATTGCCCCAACAGTGTTCCCTTTTTGATGTGTGAGTTTCCTTAACTTACTTAAGTGATCTGTTCTTTTGTTATTAGGCTTTTATTTACACTTCCCCTCTCTCTTTCTTTCCTACTCATTTATTTGTTTGCCTGCTTGTCTGTGACAGGGTTCATCTCCATAGCCAGGCTGGCCTGGAACTTATTTTGTAGTCCAGATTGCCTCTTCTTGCCTTAGCTTCACAAGTGCTGAAATTACAGGCATAGCCACCATACCCAGTGAATTTCTGCTAACCTCTCCTGCTCCTCCTCGCTGTTGGGTGTGTGTCCTCAGAGTACTCTCTGCTCTTTTGCTCATTTGTAGACTTTTCATGCTTTTAAACAACTTACCATGCGTGTAGGTACATATTACATGTGACGAATGTGCCACAGCATGGGTGTTGAGGTCAGGGTTGCCTTTCTCCTTTTATCTTTACACAGGTTCTAGCTTCTCTGGTTGTTAGGCTTGTGCTTTACATTGGATCATCTTGCCGGTCCACAATACATTCAGTGCCTCTTAAGAGTGCTTGCTATGGGTCCCACTGCTGCCTCCTGCACACTCAATCCTGGCTCTGTGGGCTTTCACCAGGGAGGGGTGGGTTCCACATGTTGGGCTGGGCCAGGCCCTCCAGAGGATAAGGTGTTTTATAAGCCCAGGCACCAATGAGAACGGACCAAAGAGTTTCAGGGCAGCTCTGTCCACCCATTGCATGCATGGTGCCACACATCAGATACTGTTGTTCATGCAACCATTTAATCCAGCGTGAATGCACAGTGAGAGCTGTTTTTTTTTTTTTTAAAGATTTATTTATTACATATACACTGTTCTGCCTACATGTCAGAAGAGGGCACCAGACTGAATTGTAGATGGTTGTGAGCCACCATGTGGTTGCTGGGAATTGAACTCAGGACCCCTGGAAGAGCAGTCAGTGCTCTTAACCTCTGAGCCATCTCTCCAGCCCCGTGAGAGCTGTTTTTAATGACGCAGAAACATTTGAGCATTGTATTTCTAGCATCCCCCTTGTGAGCACTAGACTTCCAATCTTAGTCAGATTTTTGTTTTAACACTTTGTTTTTGTATGGACACTCAGCAAGTTATCTATTTTTGCCAGTTATCTATGAACAAAACCCTTTGATTTGTAGTTTTAAGGATTAACCCTCTAAGTTCTCTTCATGTTTGGGGTTCTGTTCTGTTAATTTTCTTTTGCTTTTTTGTGTTTTTTTTTTTGTTTTGTTTTTACTTTTGCATTTAAGACCATTAAATTTTGTTTTGCTTGGGGGGAGGGGAAAGAGTGCTTGTTGTGACGTCTTAATAAATATTTGTTGAATGTTGTTGTATGGTGTAGTCTCATGGAAGTTAAGACCAAATTTCTGTGGAAAACCTACCCCCCCTTTAAAACAGAAAACCAAGGTTTTAAATGTAATTTTAACCCACAGGAGATTGACCCTGTAATGGTGTACCGGTATAATGGTCAGCACTGTAGGGGTGCAGTGGTCAGCACTGTAGGGGTGCGGTGGTCAGCCCTGTAGGGGTGCGGTGGTCAGCCCTGTAGGGGTGCGGTGGTCAGCACTGTAGGGGTGCGATGGTGTAGTGGGTAGGTTCTTCTTTTTCCCAGTAAAGCATGCTTCTCTTCTTTGGCCACTTAAGGAACTCAGTATGTTCTCCTCCCCAGCCACTCAGAATATTCTTTTAATAACTTACTGATTTATGTGTATGTGTGTATCCATGTTTGCGTGAGTGTTTACAGATGCTAGAAAATATTCTCAGGTATTCTGGAGCTATGAGTAGTCTGATATAGGTGCTTGGAACTGAACTCTGGTCCTTTGCAAGAGCAGTAAGCACTTTTAACCATTGGGCATCTCTCCTCCTGACTCCAGTGATCCAATACACTCTTAATTAGTCTAAATCTTTGGAATCTTTTTCAATTAAAAGTAATAGAAAGCACGACTGGGAATGTAGTTCAGTTAGTAGAGAGCTTGCCTAGTTGTGTGAGGCCCTGGGACCTGTAAAACCATATGTGGTTTACACTCTTGTGATCCTAGCACTAAGGAAGCACAGGCAGGGCTATCTTAAGTTCAGAGTCATCTTCAGTTGTATAGCAAGTTAGCCAGCCTGGGTTGTATCCGTCCAAAAAATGTAGCAAGTTACAACCAATCTTATATCAATAAAAACTTGAAGTATGTGGAGGAAGTAAGGGAGAAGAAACACACTACTAAAACACACTGTGTTTGAAAAATGTGTTAATGAGGCTAGGCAGTGGTGGCACATGCCTTTAATCCCAACAGAGGCAGGCGGATTTCTGAGTTTGGCGGCCAGCCTGGTTTACAGAGTGAGTTCCAGGACAACCAGGGCTATACAAAGAAACCCTGCCATGAAAAAAAAAAAACCAAAATAAATAAAAAAATAAAACGCTTTAATGATTTAAGATCTTAATTTAAGATGCTAATTTAAAACATTAGAGATTATTTAAAAGGCTCTTTAAGGTCCACATAAAGGTAAATGAAAAAAAACTTGATGCAGATCCTCCTTGAACATTGGTCTTGGGCTGGGCAGT